GCTCAACATGAGACAGCGCCTTTGGTTAGAGCTTGTCAGGGATTTTGATTGCACGATCCAGTACCATCCGGGGAAGGCGAATGTCGTTTTTGATGCCCTAAGTCGCAAGGTGAGGGGTGATTTGACGTATGTTGTTACTCATCAGAGTCATCTGATTCAAGAGTTTGCCCGGATGCAGATTCAGGTGGTAGATGCACTTCCTATAGCCATTACGGGGAGTGTCAGTTCTATGCAGGTTCAGTCGACGCTGAGGGAAAGGATCTGGCGGGAGCAGGCTTCCAATGAATTTGTTCGTGCCATTGATGCCAAAGTCCGCGCCAAAGGCGTCGAGGGTTTTCACCGAGGCACTGATGGGGCCTTGGAATTTCGAGGCAGAATTGTGGTGCCAAAAGTCGAGGCGTTGAGAAAGGAGATATTGACGGAGGCTCATACCGCACCATATCTAGCCCATCCAGGAAGCACGAAGATGTATCATGACCTGAAAGGGTCATTCTAGTGGTGAGGGTTGAAGAAGGACATAGCCAACTTTGTGAGGAAATGTTTAACCTGTCAGCAAGTCAAAGCCAAACACAAGAGTCCCATAGGCCTTCTACGACCACTACCGATTCCGAAGTGGAAGTGGGAGGAGGTTACGATGGATTTCGTCACGGGATTACCGAGGTCGTCTGAACATCACGACGCTATTTGGGTTGCGTTGACAGATTGAATAAGGTTGCTCATTTTTTACCAGTATCAATGAATATGTCTTTGGACAAGTTGGCTGAGATTTATACCTATGGGATCGTTCGACTCCATGGAGTGCCTGTTACTATCGTGTCAGACAGAGACCCCAGATTCATTAGTAGATTCTGGCAGAGTTTGCACGAGGCGATGGGCACGAGACTAGCGTTCAGTTCTGCCTACCATCCAGAGACTGACAGACAGACAGAGCGAACCATTCAGACGTTAGAGGATATTTTACGAGCTTTAGTTTTTGACAGGGGTGCTAAGTTGGAGTCATCATTGCCATATGTTGAGTTCGCGTACAATAACAGTTATCATTCTTCTATTTAGATGGCTCCTTACGAGGGACTTTACAGTCGTAAGTGTCGTTGCCCTTTTTATTGGGACGATGTTGGTGAACGTCGAGTACTCGGTCCGAAAATGATCAAGGAAATGACAGAACAGGTCGAGTTGATCCGACAGAGACTCAAGACAACTCAGAGTCGACAGAAATCTTCAGCCGATCAGCATCGACGAGATATCCAGTTCGAGGTTGGCGAGCGAGCTTTTCTCAGAGTTAGTCCATTCCACGGAGTTATTCGATTCAGGAAGAGAGGGAAGTTGCACCCTCGATTCATTGGCCCGTTCGAAGTTCTCGAGCGAGTGGGCGATGTTGCGTATCGATTAGCCTTACCTCCCGAGTTGTCCAGTGTTCATAATGTTTTTCATGTATCTATGTTACGTAAGTACGTGTGCGACCCCGATCATGTCATCCCTCATACCAATATTCAGATCCATCCAGATTTATCTTACGAGGAGCGACCGGTAGCTGTGTTGGACCGACAGGTTCGACGGCTCTGGAAGCGTGATGTTACCCTCGTTCGTATTCAGTGGGATCGCCACAGAGCTACTTGGGAGCAAGAGGCTGATATTCGCGCTCGTTTTCCTGATTTTCAGTTCTGATGTATATGTTCTTTTATGTCCCGTTTCTTATTTCCGGGACGGAAATATTTTAAGGGGGGCAGATTGTAATATCCCATCATGTTATTAATGTAATATCATGTCTAGTTCCAAAATATTTATTTTATTAAGCGTAATCATTTGAAACTATTTCTTCCAGTCGAGTCGGAGGATGAGGGTGGCGATGGTCTCGATATTTGGCTAGAAAATATATTGGAGAAGCCATCTAGTCCTATTTACCGGCCATCATGTGTACGAGATTGGCCAAAAGGTTGTGGCCCAAAGCTGGAATCGAAGGTAAGGAAACGGACGGCCAAGAGGCGACGCAAAGCAAAGGCTCG